ACTAAGAAACGCAAAATGTTTATAGTATCTAGCTCAATCTCACGGCAATTCGTAACTTTTTGATTTTGTGGCTAATTCGTATGAATTCATTTGATATTATTCGTACAATTTAGTACGATTTGCTCATCCCCCAATGACGGTTGGGTTAAGGGGTGGGGTTAGGTGCCACGCCTCCTTTTTAAAATCGTACAGTTTCGTACGACTGACCTCGTACAATTTCGTGCGAATTAGCCATGAAACTGGCAAAACGTAAAATACTTACGTTTTCTCGTGAGATCAGGCTGATAGTTTCACATGGATTCCAGGTGTTTTCAGCATCTGAACACTAAACCTGCAGGTGTAAATCACACACAGCTTCTTAATGCAGCTCAATCCTACGAAAATAACCACAAAACACACACACACACACACACACACACACACAGATTTCACAACTACTCCAGATCTTAATAAGTCAATTATGCGAATAATTAAAATCTCAACTCTGCTCTATTTTACACTAAAAAAAGATGTCAAAATCACTTCATGTTCCAGATTCATATGAGTTAATGCACGAGGGATATGAGACGTCTTACCTCGAGTATATTAGGGATAATGTCAGATTAAAAGACATTGCCGCAGGATTCATCACCTTTATCAAAGATATTATGTTATTGTAACTGGATCAGGCTTATAAATGCAGTACAGTTTCAATGTGTGTAAGACAGTGTATGTCTTCATAAAGTCGTTTAATGAAATTTATTTGTGGTTGAAAACTGACATTAGAAATTAAATGTTAAACTCACGTCTGGTAGATTTTTTTTGGTGTTTTATTTCGGCTAGAATAAAAGCAGTTTTTAATTTTTAAAAAACTATTTTTGGGACAATATTATTAGCCCTTTTTAAGCTAATTTTTTTTCGATAGTCTACAGAACAAACCTTCGTTATAGAATAACTTGCCTAATTACCCTAACCTGCCTAGTTCACCTTATTAACCTAGTTAAGCCTTTAAATGTCACTTTAAGCTGTATAGAAGTGTCTTAAAGAATATCTAGTCTAATATTATTTACTGTCATCATGGTAAAGATAAAATAAATCAGTTATTAGAAATGAGTTATTAAAACTATTATGATTAAAAATGTGCTGAAACAATCTTCCCTCCATTAAACGGAAATTGGGGAAAAAAATAAACAGGGGTGCTTATAATTCAGGGGGGCTAATAATTCTGACTTCAACTGTATATATGTGTGTGTGTGTATGTATATATATATATATATATATATTCATTTTCTTTTCGGCTTAGTCCTTTTATAAATCTGGGGTCGTCACAGGGGAATGAACCACCAACTTATCCAGCACATGTTTTACGCAGCGAATGTCCTTCCAGGTGCTACCCTTCTCTGAGAAAAAAAAATAAAACATATATATATATATATTGGAGCATGCTCCATTATTACTGTATTTTTAAAATATAGTGTATAATGTCATAAACCACTTCAACACTTGCTAAGCACATTGAGTGTATGCATACTGCGTCCTCTAGTGTCTGAAAGGAGAAGCACAGTAAAAGTGTAGTGAAAAGCAGTATACTTTCTGTCAAAATAAATTAATCTAAATTAAGTGAATATAATTAGGTTCAAAAAGAAACAATTGAGATTCCATGCACACCTAATTTATCAAATATGCAAAATGCTTTATTTCCAATCATAGCATGATGGACCCATGATTGGTGTTTAGTAAATAACACATTTCCAGTAGTTTTCTCTGTGTTTCTGTTTGAGATAAATTGTTTGCAGGTGTTTTGCATACAGTCATGTGACGGAATCTAAAAGCAGACTTTATTTGCATGCTTCCATGCTTACCCAAGTGACTCACCTCTGACTGGCTGTCAGGATCCTCTTCAAAGCATTACACTGAGATCAAAATAAACACTTAAATTAATGATAAAGCAATACATCAGCTCTGATTCATTTCACTTTCTTCAAATGAATGGCCCTTTTTAGATTAATTTTTCATTTACATTTTAAATTAAGTAATAAAGGAGACAATGCGGTGGCGCAGTGGGTAGTGCTGTGGCCTCAAAGCAAGAAGGTCGCTGGATCGAGTCTCAGCTGGGTCAGTAGGTGTTTCTGTGTGGAGTTTGCATGCTCTCCCTGCTTTCTCGTGGGTTTCTACCTGGTTTTCCGCCCCCACATTCCAAACACATGCGCTATAGGGGAATTGGATGAAGTAAATTGGCAATAGTGTATAAGTGTGGATGAGAGTGTATGGATGTTTCCCAGTACTGGGTTGCAGCTGGAAGGGCATCCGCTGTGTAAAACATATGCTGGATAAGTTGGCAGTTCATTCTGCTGGGTGAACCCTGATTAATAAAGGGACTAAGCTGAAGGAAAATGAATGAATTAATAATAATAATAATAATAATAATAATAATCATTTAAAAATAAATTATTAAATGAATAAATTATTAATATATTATAAAGGTTATGATTTAATGTTAATATAGAATGAAATACAAAAATAGTTTAAATAAAAAATATGAATAAATAAATAAATAAAACAATAAACAAATAAATAAATAGATAAACTAATAAATGAATAAATAAATAAATAAATAAATAAAGTACACAAATAAAATTACTAAACATAATTCATTCCTTCATTTATTTTCCTTCGGGTAGTCCCTTATTTATCAGAGGTGAAATGAACTGAAACGAACTGCCAACTATTCCAGCATATGTTTTACACAGCGAATGCCATTCCAGCTGCAACCCAGTTCTGGGAAACATCCTTAGATTCTCACATTCACACACTCTCATACACTATGGCCAATTTAGTTAATCAATTCCCCTATAGTGCATGTGTTTATACTGGGGGGAACTGGAGCACCTGAAGGAAACCCACACCAACACGGGAAGAACATGCAAACTCCACACAGAAATGCCAACTGGCCCAGCTGAGACTTGAACGAGTGACCTTCTTGCTGTGAGGCGACTGTGCTAACCACTAAGCCAACTATGCTGCCCTAAAAATAATTTAGATGTTATTTGAATTTTACTATTCAACTTATTAAAAGCAAAAATCTTGGAAAGAAATATTCAATAAGACATGATGCACAGAAATATTTTAACTTTATGACTTTGTATGAAAGCATCTGTGAAATACATGATAGGAAACAGTTTTGCTAAAACCTTTGCTAAGCTGCTTAAAAATGTGGATGCTTGTGGCTAAAATTCAGTCCTTTTCTTTGGATTAGCTCAGGCTTCACAGCTCTAGGAAATGCTGAAAACCAAATTCCCAAAATTCACTTCATATATTAATACATGGTATATTTGTCCTTTCCATGCTGCTTATTCAGCAGGTACACCTCACTTCCTGTCTGCTACAGGAAGCAGAGCGGTCACAGAAGGTCACCTCACACACGTCCTGTCTGAGATTCCAGAACTTCTGCATTATCATCCTTTACCTACAGCTGAAGTCAGAATTATTCACCCTCTAGTGAATTGTTATTCTTTTTCAAATATTTCTCAAATGATGTTTAACAGATTCAGGAATTTTTCACAGCAGTTCCTATAATATTTTTTTCTTCTGGAGAAAGTCTATTTTGTTTTGATTCGGCTAGAATAAAAGCAGTTTTTAATATTTTAAAAAACATTTTAAGGTCAATAATATTATTATAAAGCTATAGTTCTGAGTTATAAAGTCATAATTCTGCATTATAAAGTCATAATTCAGAGATATAAAGTCACAATTCTGATATATAAAGTCATAATTCAGAGATATAAAGTCACAATTCTGATATATAAAGTCATAATTCAGAGATGTAGTCATAATTCTGCATTATAAAGTCATAATTCTGCATTATATAGTCATAATTCTGCATTATAAAGTCATAATTCAGAGATGTAAAGTCATAATTCTGCATTATAAAGTCATAATTCTGCATTATAAAGTCATACTTCTGAGATATAGTCATAATTCTGCATTATAAAGTCATAATTCTGCATTATAGTCATAATTCTGCATTATAAAGTCATAATTCTGCAATATAAAGTCATAATTCTGCATTATAGTCATAATTCTGCATTATAAAGTCATAATTCTGCAATATAAAGTCATAATTCTGCATTATAGTCATAATTCTGCATTATAAATTCATAATTCTGCAAAATAGTCATAATTCTGAGATATAAAGTCATAATTTTGCATCATAAAGTCATAATTCTGATATATAAAATCATAATTCTACATAATGAAGTCATAATTCTGAGATATAAAGTCATAATTCTGCATTATAAAGTCATAATTCTGCATTATAGTCCTAATTCTGCATTATAAAGTCATAATTCTGCATTATAGTCATAATTCTGCATTATAAAGTCATAATTCTGCATTATAGTCATAATTCTGCATTATAAAGTCATAATTCTGAGATATAAAGTCATAATTCTGAGATATAAATTCATAATTCTGCATTATAAAGTCATAATTCTGCATTATAGTCACCATTCTGAGATATAAAGTCAAAACACAGAGATATAAATTCATAGATCTGAGATATAAAGTCAGAATTCTGCGTTATAAAGTCATAATTTTTCCTAATAAAGTCAGAATTCTGAAATATAAAGTCCAAATTCTGAAATATGAAGTCAGAAAATCACTTCATAACTCATAATTCTCACTTAATAACTCAGGATTGCGAGTTTGTTCCAGACATGTGATAAAAAGTTACAATAGCTTATAAAAACAGGAACAGATTTCTAAAGAATAATATTGCTGATCTGAGAGCAGTGTGTGAGCACTGAAAAAACTGATTTATGATTTGCTAATTTTTTTTAAGGTAAGGTCTTTGCAAACAATTATAAGGGCTGAAGTTAACAAACTAATTAAATTATGTTCAACTTAGTTTATTTGTTTACATTTAGCCCTTATAAATAGTTTGCAACCACTTATTAAAAATATTGTGAATCCAATGAATCATTTTTGTCCTAATGTGGCGCCCCCTACCGGCCGCTGTGGTTCTATTCAGCGGGACTCCTCCCCAATGCAGCCCGAGCAGATCGCTCTTCCTGCGGTGTGACAGCAGCAGCGGCGGCGGCGGCGGTGGCGCATTGTACGCTTTTATCCTTTATTTGACTCTTTTCTTTCTACACTGAGCTAATCAACACAAACTCATCTGATCATCTCCTTCTGGAAGAACTGCAGGACGCGGCGGCTTGTCTAAAATGGCCAACAGAGACGATGAATACGATTTCTTGTTCAAAGGTAAATTCTGCATACAGTCAGAATCATTCATAATCCATCTATTGTTGCTACTGTAGCATGTGTCTGACACAGATCGGAGCCTGTTGGGGAATAGGCACTGTTGAGGAAGCGTCTTTTGCAATGGCATCCTGTGTAAAATGATGCCACACACATATACAAATAACAGTGTTTGACATAGAAACGCCCGCAGAGGCATCAATACCTCAATACTCATGTATCGATCTGTAAAACATCTGCTTGGATGCCTTTACACCGGCTAGAAGGGATACAGCTGCGACCGGAAGTTAACGAGAATTATTTATTTTGTTTATTAAATTACTGATTGAATTTCATTGTGTTAACGTCTACCCCTGAACCCAACCCTCACGACAATGTAAAACAGTAATTATAACTAGAATTATTTATAATACCTATTTAATTTGTCATTAAATATTAGCATTTACTCCTAACCCTCACACTAATGTAAATACAGTAGTTATAACGAGAATTATTCATATTGTTTATTAAATTACTCATTTTAATGTATTGTGTTTACGTCTACCCCTGAACCCAACCCTCACGACAATGTAAAAACAGTAAATATAACGAGAAGTATTCATATTACCTATTAAATTAGTCATTAAATATTATTTAATTAGCATTTACCCCTAACCCTCACACTAATGTAAATACAGTAGTTATCATGAGAATTGTTCATATTATTTATTAAATTACTCATTAAATAGTATTTTATTAACATCTACCGCTTAACCTAAACATCACAGAAATATCAAAGCAGTAAATATAACAATTATTTATGAAATTACTCATTAAAATGTATTTTGTTAACGTCTACCTCTATCCAAACCCCAAAACTAACCCTCATATTAGTGTAAAAGCAGTTATTAAAAAAATGAGAATTATTCATATTATTTATTAATTTACTCATTAATTAGTATTTTATTAACGTCTACCCCTAAACACAGCCCTCACATTAATGTAAAAACAGTAAATATAACGAGAATTGCGTATATTATTTATTAATTTACTCATTAAATTGTATTTTATTAACATTTACCCCCAAACCCAGGCCTTACACTAATGTAAAACATTAAATATGACGAGAATTATCCATATTATTTATTAATTTACTCATTAAATTGTATTTTATTAGTGCCTACCCATAAACCTACCTCTCACACCAATGTAAAAACAGTAAATATAACAAGAATTATTTATTAAATTACCCATTAAAATGTATTTTATTAACATCTACCTCTACCCAAACCCCAAAACTAACCCTCATACTAATGTAAAAGCAGTTATTAAAATGAGAATTATTTATATTATTTATTAATTTACTCATTAAATATTTTAATAACGTCTACCCCTAAACACAGCCCTCACATTAATATAAAACCAGTAAATATAACAAGAATTATTTATAATATTCATTAAATTACCCATAAATAGTATTTTATTAACTTCTACCTCAAAACCCAAGCCTCATACTAATGTAAAAACAGTAATTATAACTAGAATTATATATATTATTTATTAAATTATCCATTAAATAGCATTTAGTTAACATCTACCCCAAAACCCAACCCTCACACTAATGTAAAAACAGTAAATATAATGAGAATTATTCATATTATTTATTAATTTACTCATTAAAATGTATTTTATTAGTATTTACCCCCAAACCCAACCCTCACTTCAATGTAAAAAACAGTAAATATAAGGAAAATATTCATATTATTTATTAAATTATCAAATAAATTGTGTTTTATTAACATCTACCCCTTAACCCAACCTTAACAGTAATGTAAAAACAGTAATTAAAGCAAGTATTATTCATATAATTTATTAATTTACCCTTTATTTGTATTGACGTCTGCTTCCCCAATGCTAAACACAGACCTCACACTAATGTAACAACAGTGTTTATGATGATAATTATTCCTAATATTTATTAAATTATCCATTAAATAGCTTTTAATTAACATCTACCCCAAAACCCAACCCTCACACTAATGTAAAAACAGTAAATATAATGAGAATTATTCATATTACTTATTAAATCATCCATTAAATAGCATTTAATTAACATCTACCCCAAAACCCAACCCTCACACTAATGTAAAAACAGTAAATATAATGAGAATTATTCATATTACTTATTAAATCATCCATTAAATAGCATTTAATTAACATCCACCCCTGAACCCAACCCCCACACTAATGTAAAAACAGTAAATATAATGAGAATTATTTATATTATTTATTAAATTACTCGTTAAAATGTCTTTAATTAATGTCTACCCCTACCCAAACCCCAAAACTAACCCTCATACTAATGTAAAAGCAGTTATTAAAATGAGAATCATTTATATTATTTATTAATTTACTCATTAAATAGTATTTTATTAGTATTTACCCCTAAACCCAACCCTCACGCTAATGTAAAAATAGTAAATATTACAAGAATTATTTATATTATTAATTAATTTACTCATTAAATAGTTTTTTATTTACATCTTCCTCTAAACCTTCCTCTCACATTAATTTAAATACAGTAATTGTAACAAGAACTATTCATATTATTTAATAAATTACTCATTAAAATGTATTTTATTAGCATAAGCCAAAACCCAACCCTCACAGTAATATAAAAACAGTAAATATAACGAGAATTATCCATATTATTTATTTAATTAAATTGTATTTTATTAATGCCTACCCCAACCCTCACACTAAAGTAAAAACAGTAATTATAACAAAATTTATTCATATTTTTTATTAAATTACTCATTCAAATGTTTTCTATTCACATTTACCCCTAAACCCAACCGTCACGTTTATATAAAAACAGCACATAAAGCAAGAATTACTTATATTATTTATTAAATTACCCATTAATCGTGTTTTATAAACATCTACCCCAACCCTAATCCTATGTAAAAACACTAATTATAACGTGAATTATTCATATTAGTTATTAATGTACTAATTAAATAGTATTTTATTAACATCTACCCCTAAACCAAACCCTTACAGTATTGTAAAAACTGTTATTATAATGAGAATTAATTTTATTATTTAATAAATTACTCAATAATAGTTCTATTGGAGTCAGAATTATTAGGCTCCCTAATTTAAATATTTCCCAAATGATGTTTGACAGAGCAAGGAAATTTTCACAGTGTCTCTGACAATATTTTTTCTTCTGCAGAAAGTCTTTTTTGCTTTATTTTGGCTTGAATAAAAGCAGTTTTTAATTTTTTTGAAGCCATTTTAAGGTTGATATTATTAGCCCCTTTAAGTTATATATTTTTCTGATAGTCTACAGAACAAACCATCGTTATACAATGACTAAGTAACCTAACCTGGGTAATTACCCTAACCTGCCTAGTTAACCTAATTAACCTAGTTAAGCCTTTAAATGTCACTTTAAGCTGTGTAGAAGTGTCTTGAAGAATATCTAGTCAAATATTATTTACTGTCATCATGACAAAGATAAAATAAATCAGTTATTAGAAATGAGTTATTAAAACTATGATGATTAGAAATGTGCTGAAGAAATCTGCTCTCCATTAAACAGAAATACATTCAACTGTATGTCATTAACATCTACCTCTACGCCAACCATAAATTTACCCCTCACACTAATGTAAAAACAGTAAATATGTCAAGAATTATTCATATTATTTATTAAATTAGCCATTCATTTTATGTTATTAACGTCTACCCCTACCATACCTGTCAACATTGGTATGTGAAAATAAGCGATATGCTCACCATAATAAGGGATTCCCCTGACCCCCCTTTAAAAAATCCCCAAATTACTAAATATGCTCATTTAGAGCAGTTTCACTGTAAACAAACAGTTAAATGGTCAGTAATATGCTTTATTATTATTATTAGTACTTACAAAAGAAAAACTAAATAGTATACATCAGCAGCAAATAAATTAGCAAACAGTTCAGCTTATTAAAATGAATAGCTTTTATAATGAAATAGAATCAAATCTCATTAGCGGTTTCTTCACTGTATAACGTACACATTCTGATTAAAGAGCAATGACTGAATGACTTATTTAGATATTTTTTCATCTGATTACATTAAATAACGGGTGTCACTTTAAAAATGCACACATCTAACATTGAAATAAAAGCATTCGACTGCTTTCCTAACTGTTTATACTCATTTAGGACAAAATTACTTGTGTTTGGAAAAAAAAAAACTCACCAAGATCGACATCTTTAGATATTAATCGTATTAATTATGTGTATATGTCTGTTTAAACACGCACCTAAAACACAAACTTTTTTATATATATACAGACTTATATAGAGACTTAGGGTGCTTTCACACCTACACTTTTGTTTCGGAACGTGTCTCGTTTGCCCAGTTAGAGCGGTTCGATTGGCATATGTGAACAGGGCAATCGCGCTCTGTTCCGCGCCAAAGTAATCGCTCCGAGATCGCTTGAATGAGGTGGTCTCGGCTCGATTGAAACGAACCCTGGAGCGGTTCAATTGCAGTGAGAAAGCGATCCGATCCGAGCACGGTTATATCACAGTTTTTATGGATATGTAATAGGCTTACGGCTATATGAAGAGAGAATTATGAGTAGGGCGGGAAGTTTCGTGAGTCTCCGGATGCCCGCAAACGAGTGATGATCTCCCGGTAATCTCACGTCTCCCTCCCGGTCCTCAAATAGGCATCGTCGCGCACCCTTTTCTCCCCTCCCCACCGCATCTCTCCTCAGACATGTCGCGCGCGCACCCTGTCCACCAAACCACCACTTTTCCTGACAGCTTAGCGGGACGCTGCAAAATAAACCCTGACACTCTGACCAATGTGAGGAGAGTTTACTCGCACATGACTTGTTTTAGCTCTTTTGGTCCGATTAGAAACTTTGCAGTGTGAAAGCGAACCGCTCCAAGAGCAAAGAGCAACAATGTAACATTTGTAATCTCTGTTTCGGAACAACTGAATCCATTCACAGGTGTGAAAGCACCCTTAAGGTTACACATTTAACTTCAGACTAACAACCTGCCAAACACTGATGACCTTTTAACTTACTAGCCACACCCTAACAACCAAGGAAACTAGACTTTCTTTGTAAAAAAAAAAAACTGCTTTTGACTCTACATTAGACATACTAACAACATACCAATCCATACTAACAACACACTACTTCATACCAGAAACACCCTAATGACATACTAGCAACATGTTAATTCATACTATAAACATACTAGCAACATGCTAATTCATACTAACAATATACTAATCCATACTGGAAACATACTAACAAACATACTAATCATACTAGCAAACATGCTAATTCATACCAAGTTCATACTAACGGCATGCTAGTTTATACTAGAAACATGCAAGTGACATACTAATTTATGCTGAAAACATGGTAATTTATGTTAGCAACTGCTTTCCTAACTGTTTATACTCATTTAGGACAAAATTACTTGTGTTTTAAAAAAAAAAAACTCACCAAGATCAACATCTTTAGATAATAATCGTATTTATTATGTGTATATGTCTGTTTAAACGCACCTAAAACACAAACTTTTGCTCCGCTTCAAAATCCTGAGTACGAATCCATTTGGGAAACAGCGTCTGTTTATCAATATGGAGCGCTTCAGCTGACAGTCACGCACCTCTATATTTTGAGGATTGCATATAAACCGGAGACGACACTTATAATGAAAAGGAAGGGAATCATGCCGTTTTTGTGTTTATTTCAACGTGTTTTCATGCCTAAACAAAGCGAAAGCACAGAACAGACTCACATTTAAGAGCAAGAGTCTGCCCCTTGCGGTTCGGCGGTGTGGGTTGCGTATAGGGAGGATCGACTCTTTAATGTTTATTTGCCACCCTTCAGAGAAAGACGGGAGAAATACGGAAAAATATATCTTTACGGGATGTTAATGTGACTAAACCTTTTCTCTTTTAGGTAAGTTATTAAATTGGTTTCTGTTCTGCTTAATAGCAGAATAATGAGAGATAGATTTTTGAGAAATTGTTATAACTCTTCTTGATAGACAAGTTTACATACGATAAGATTATTCTGCCTCTGAAAAAGCTCAGATGATGGTGTCAATGTTCTGGAAGTTTCTGATTGGCTTATTGACAACATTTGAGTTATTTGGAGGCACAACTGTAGAATAGTATTGAAGGACAAACACACTGCTTCCTTGTGTGACAACATGGGAAAATCAACAAGCCAGAATCAACAATAAAGCCAGATTACAATTAGCTAAATGACACTGGGAAAAAGACTCATGTTTGGAGACATGTCCTGTGCTCTGATGGAGCTAAGACTGAACTGTTTGGCCATAATGACCAGTGTTACATTTGGAGGACAAAGGGGAAAGCTTACAAGCCTAGGAACACCATCCCAATTGTGAAGTATGGGGGCGGCAGCATCATGTTGTGGGGCTGTTCTGCTGCAGGAGGGACTGGTCCACTTCACAGCATAGATGGCATCATGAAGAAAGAACATTATGTAGAAATACCGAAGCAACATCTCAAGACATCAGCCAGGAAATTAAAACTTGACCACAAATGGGTCTTCCAAACAGACCATGACCCTAAGCATACTGCCAAATTATTTCAAATGTGCTTTAAGAACAACAGAGGGAATGTTTTCGAGTGGCCATCACAAAACCCTGACCTCAATCCTATAGAACAGTGGTTCTCAAACTGTGGTACGTGTACCACTAGTGGTACGCGGGCTTCCTTCTAGTGGTACACGGAGGAATGAAATATGTCATATACATGCTACATATAATTCAAAATTTATTAAAAATGATGTATATAATATGCTATATATTATATATAGGCTATATTTCTGAGGTAATCTGCCAGGTTTTTTAACTGTGCAGAGTTTTAGCTGCTTTACTGGTCCAACTACGCTACAGTATTTCAATGCTGCTCATTTTGGTGGTACTTGGAAAGACAATGTTTTTCTAAGGTGGTACTTGATAGAAAAAAGTTTGAGAACCACTGCTATAGAACATTTGAGGGCAAAGTTGAAAAGGCAAATCTGACTCAGTTACACCAATTCTGTCAGGAGGAAAGTTCCTTCAAACTATTGTGAGAAGCTTGTGGAAGGATAGATAAAACATTTGACCAAAGTTATATACCAAGAAATACCAAGAAAATGTGTATAACTTTTGACTGTCTAGACATTAATAAAAAATTCTCTCATAATTTTGGCATTTAGCAAATGTAAATCATTCAGGTAATCCTAACGGACCTAAAATAATAAACGTTTAGTATGATTTACCACCAGACATTAAAAAAAAAAAATGCTTATGTCCCTTTTTCTAGAGTGTATGTAAACTTCTGATTTCAGCTGTATATAGCACATTTATCATGTATAGTCATTAGGGATGTAACGGTATCAGAATTTCACGGTACGGTAATACCTCGGTATGAATGTCACGGTACGGTATTTATTGAATCATTTACAGGAAAAAACAAAACTTATGAAAATACTCCAAAAAAGTGCCAAAAGTGTCAATGACATACAAATTAGTCATCTATCTGTAAGCTTTGAAACAGGAACTTCAATTTTAATAACAAAAAATTATTAAACCATGTAAAAAAATAAAGTTTCAATTTAGTATTGTTGAAAACTCATCACATTCAACATTTAATCACTCACTCACTTAGATAGAGATGGGTTTATAGGAAAATTATCATATAAATATAATCTGGTAAAAGCTGGTATCTCTGGGTATTCACAATGTCCCCTGCAACAGAAAAAAACCCTCTCATTTGGGACTGAGGTTTCTGGGACAGAGAGATATGACTTGGCCCAGGTTGACAGCAGTGGGTAACGTTGTGCATTGTCTTTCCCCCACTTGAGAGGACAAACCATGAGTGAGATAGAGATCTCATGTCTGCATCAATCTGAACAGTGTGCTGTGTTTCTGCAGTCCCCATGACTGCTATTAGTCGTATTCCCCAACTTGCAGGCATGTGCACACATAGGGCTCCCTTTTTAGTCTTGGATAGAAAGTTCCCTTCCAAAATGATCAAAAGTGCCCCCGCGACGCGACACATCCTCCGTCCCCCCCTTCAGTAGGCATGGACAACACCGCTCTTGAGTATGCGCGCTCAACCCCCCCTCCCCGCTTTACAGTACACGCGCGACAACACAGCTGATCAGAACACGCGCAACAACTCCGCTATTCAGTATGCGCGCGACAACACAGGTGATTAGAACGCGCGCGACAACACACCTGATCAGAACGCGTGCAACAACACCGCTATTCAGTACGCGCGCGACAACACAGGTGATTAGAATGCGCGCGACAACACAGCTGATCAGAACGCGCGCGACAACACAGCTGATCAGAACGCGCGCGACAACACAGCTGATCAGAACGCGCGCGACAACACAGCTGATCAGAACGCGCGCGACAACACAGCTGATCAGAACGCGCGCGACAACACAGCTGATCAGAACGCGCGCGACAACACCGCTATTCAGAACGCGCGCGACAACACAGCTGATAAGAACTCGCGCGACAACACCGCTATTCAGTACGCGTGCGGCGACAACACCCGATTCAGGTTCGATCATTTCCAGCTCTTTTTGATGCCCGCTTCTAGCAGCACACTCCATTTCCGCATTACTGGATCTGTAGCGACAACAGACGGCAAGGGATGATGGCCAAGCCTGGGCTGATGGGAATTGTAGTTTCCGCTACCTCCCGTTCGCTTCATTCTCCTGAGCAAATTTTCTCAGAAGACCTATAGTTTTACCGAGTCATGCGACTACAGTAATATCGAAAAAAATTAATATTGTGGTATGACGGTATTTACAATACAGTTACATCCCTAATAGTCATACATCCAAAGCGGTTCACACTCCAAAGCGGGGGAAAGCAATTGTTTCCCACACTTTTGCCACACAACTGTGTTTAAACCCCTTATAAAAGTGTTGTTTTGCATAATAAGTCCCCTTTAACTCATGTTATTTTGACTGTGGTGAAACAATTAGTCTGCTTCTGCTTCCAGTCGTTCTCATCGGAGATTCAGGCGTTGGGAAGAGTAACCTGCTGTCGAGATTCACACGAAACGAGTTTAACCTGGAGAGCAAGAGCACGATAGGAGTGGAGTTCGCCACCAGGAGCATTCAGGTGGATGGAAAGACCATAAAAGCACAGATCTGGGATACGGCTGGACAGGAGCGATACAGAGCCATCACCTCTGCGTGAGTACAGTACATCAGTTGAGCTGAGTTGATCTTTGAATCGAACAGCACATTTATACTTGGGGTGTAACGGATCACGGTTGAAATTCTAAAGGCTTTCTTAAAGGTGTTTTCTGACACTATTTAGGTAAGCTGCAATAATGCATTCAGTGTAGAGCTGAGCAAATAATCACTAAAAGATCGGGAACTCAGTTTAAACACCCACGCAACATGACTATGGCTGAGTTTTACCATAGGCAAGTTCTGGGTAAAGCTCAGAGTATTCCCAACCTATGCACCACAACTTTTATCTTCTACCTTCTGGTATTCGATATAGAACTCCTATTAGTACAGCAAATTGGTTCAAACTTTTATTCATCCCCTCAGCTGTAACGTTTTTAAATTTAGGGTAGATTTGTATTGTATAATGTCAAAACGTAGGTAATTAATGGTGCTTTCTGACACTATTTATTTAATCTGCTTTAATACATTCAGTGTTAACCTGCACAATTAAAAGACTGGGTTCTCAATTCAAACACACATACACAACATAAATATAAACAACCCGGGCTCATTGTGGAAACGTAGCCCCGTGGACGTTTCTGCGGACCACGATTTACGTCCCGGGAGGTACGTATTCGAGCGTTTTTTTGTTTTCGCGGATCCGCGAGAGGTCGCTGTGCGCGTTTTCGCGTCTCGGGCGGGCGCCTCTCGGGAGCGCGCGTCGTTCGCGCCCGCGCCGTTCTCGCGCGAAAAGCCGACGGATCGGGGAAAAAAAAAAAAAAAAAGCAAAAGCCCTCGTCTTCGATTTCGACCTTGTTTTCGGATCCCGCCGCGTTCTCGCCCTCATTTTTCGGATTCCGTTTTTCATCTCACCTGATTTCCGGAACCTGCTGTTCCCCAGACTCGATCCCGGTCGTCGTCCACCACGGCCGGCTCCTCCTCCTCCTCTTCCTCGTCCGGGGCCTCCGCTCCGCCTTCGCAACGCTGTGAGCTAGGCGAACAAACTGATTGCATCGGGAAAGCCCTCCACTCGGAGGCGAGCCGTTGGCCGGCGAGCGCGAAGAGGAGGGGCGGAGCAGCGCCACACCGCACCGCGGCGTTCGCTCGAAAAAAAACAAACGCGCCCTTTACGTACCTCCGGCCACGTAAATCTGGTCTCCAGAAACGTCCGCGGGGCTACGTTTCCAGAATGAGCTTGGGTTGAATATAAATGATGGTGATTTGCATATGTTTATTAATCCTTAAATTTGCATTTGATTAAGAGATACAGTTTTTACCCTTTTCAGTTACATTTAGTTACAAACAATGAAATAACAGCAGTACTGGGAGAACAGTTTGTAGTTTAGATATAAAACACTGATGTGTATGGTAAAGATTAAAATCACTGTTTAATGCAACTTGACGCTGTTGAATGTTGTAGCAACTACATTATTTTACCAATAGACAATTAAAAACATGTCACAGAACAGTTCTTCAAAAATGACAAATCCATTAATGAAGTGTGTAGTATGAATTATTGAATTATTAATAAAAAAATGAGACAAAAAATATGATGCGTTAGATGTATACATTTAGCATTATCAGCAGTAGTGTGATGCTGTGATGTGGACTGTTTTTGATGGTGTGTGTTTTGTGTGCAGATATTATCGTGGAGCAGTCGGTGCGCTGCTGGTGTACGACATCGCCAAACACCTTACCTATGAGAACGTGGAGCGCTGGCTGAAAGAGCTGCGAGATCACGCTGACAACAACATCGTCATCATGCTGGTTGGGAATAAGAGTGACCTGCGGCACCTGAGGGCCGTGCCCACCGATGAGGCCCGCGCTTTCGCAGGTACAGCCTGAGGGATGAGCACAGATGAATGACCCATATAAAAAAAATTATAGGAATATAAAGTAAATATTATTGTTTTTTAATAGTAAATAATTAATATGTTGTGGTAAATTTATAGTATAACTGTAGTATAGTTTTATAAACAACTGTAGTAACTGATCTGTGGTAGTAATTCTTTTGTTGCTATGGTAACAAAACAACTATAGTAATTGATCTGTGGTAATAATTCTATAGTTGCTATGGTAACACAACAACTGTAGTAATTATTCTGTGGTAGTAATTCTATAGTTGCTATGGTAACAAAACAACTGTGGTAATTGATCTGTGGTAGTAATTCTTTTGCTGCTATGGTAATGCAACAACTGTAGTAATTGATCTGTGGTAGGCATTATTTTGTTGCTACGGTAACAACAACTATAGTATTTGATCTGTGGTAGTAATTCTAAAGTTGCTATGGTAACAACAACTGTAGTAATTAATCTGTGGTAGTAATTCTATAGTCCCTATGGTAACAACAACTGTAGTAATTAATCTGTGGTAGTAATTCTATAGTCGCTATGGCAACACATCTGTAGTAATTGATCTATGAAAGTAATTCTTTTGTTGCTATGGTAATGTAACAACTGTAATAATTGATCTGTGGTAGTAATTATTTTGTTGCTATGGTAACAACAACTATAGTATTTGATCTGTGGTACAGTAGTAATTCCATAGGCCCTATGGTAACACAACAACTGTAGTAATTGATCTGTGGTAGTAATGCTATAGTCACTATTGTAACACAACAACTGTAGTAATTGATCTGTGGTAGTAATTCTATAGTTGCTATGGTAACAACAACTGTAGTCATTTATCTGTGCTAGTAATTCTATAGTCCCTATGGTAACAACAACTGTAGTAATTAATCTGTGGTAGTAAATCTATAGTCGCTATGGTAACACATCTGTAGTAATTGATCTATGAAAGTAATTCTTTTGTTGCTATGGTAATGCAACAACTGTAGTAATTGATCTGTGGTATTAATTATTTTGTTGCTATGGTAACAACAACTATAGTACTTGATCTGTGGTAGTAATTCCATAGGCCCTATGGTAACACAACAACTGTAGTAATTGATCTGTGGTAGTAATTCTGTAGTTGCTATGGTAACACAACAACTGTAGTAATTGATCTGTGGTAGTAATTCTGTAGTTGCTATGGTAACACAACACCTAAAGTAAATGATCTGTGATAGTAATTCTATAGTCGCCATGGTAACACAAAAACTGTGTTAATTGATCTGTGGTAGTAATTCTTTTGTTGCTATGATAACAAAACAACTGTAGTAATTGATCTGTGGTAGTAATTCTATAGTCTCCATGGTAACACAACAACTGTAGTAATTGATCTGTTATAGTAATTCTTCTGTTGCTATGAGAACAAAACAACTATAGTAATTAATTTGAGGTAGTACTTCTATAGTCGCTATGGTAACACAACACCTAAAGTAAATGATCTGTGATAGTAATTCTATAGTCGCCATGGTAACACAACAACTAAAGTATTTGATCCGTGGTAGTAATTCTCGCGTTGGTAACAGAACCACTATAGTAATATAAACAAACGCCCTCTGCTTGCTTACAGAGAAGAATAACCTGTCATTCATCGAGACGTCAGCTCTGGACTCAACTAATGTTGAAGAGGCCTTCAAAAACATCCTAACAGGTACAAACACATCCTGTAATCAGATTTTAGAACGAGGCTCGTCCAATCAGATTTTATTATGAGGCTTATCCAACCAGCTTTTTAGAACAAGACTTATCCAATCAGGTTTTGTAACAAGTCACGTGTAATATTGTGCGCATATAAATGATGAAAACTTATTACCGGGAACAATGTATTTTGTGAACTAACGACATAAACGATTGAGCATACTATGAAATAATAAACTTTTTATTTTGACCATATGATATATACTGTCATGTTGCACAGCCTCAGGCTCAGCCAATCAGATTTTAAAATGAATGTCTCCAATGTTTTGTTGATCACTAACTGATCAGATAATCCCCTGCTTTCTTTGTTTGTGCAGAAATCTACCGTATCGTATCACAGAAGCAGATAGCGGAGCGGTCGGCCCATGACGAGTCTCCCGGAAATAACGTTGTGGACATCAGTGTCCCGCCCACCACAGACGGACAGAAGAGCAACAAACTGCAGTGCTGCCAAAACCTGTAACCACGTCGACCAGCCCTCACCTGTCAGTCATCTCCGGGTCCCTCATCACGTCCCGCCGCTCATCTTCTCACTTTTATTTCTGTAATATATACATGTATAAATATATTTGTTTTTTGACCACACACACACAGTATCTAACTGCGCTGACAGTGCTTTACTTTAATAAAGTCCAAATCAGGTTTTTCTGTGTGAATGCAACGGAATATTCCACAATACTACACAGATTAAAATGAACCCTTTTTATTCTCCTAAAACATCTGGTAAATCTGGTGTGCTTGTCATGTTTTACTCTAATTAAAAGTCTTTGTTTTTTCATTAAGAAAGCAAGTGCCTTTTGTATGCCTTTCCACCTTCAGTATTTAAAAAAAACAACAATTTGATATATTTATGTATACCATTTACACAGTGTTGGGGGTAACACATTACAAGTAATGCGAGTTACATAATAGGACTTTTAAGTAATGAGTGAAAAGTACTTTTAAAAGATGAGTAATAATAAAATTAGTTTCTTTAAAAAAAAAAAAAAAAAAAAAAAAGTTACAAATAATTAGCTTAAAAAAAAAATTGCTGAATATAAAGGAGTCACAATGTAACGTGGAGACTGACACGGAGGGATCCATTATGCAGTATTTATTAATCACACTTACTCAAACATACAATATGCACAAAGGTGCAAACACACATCGACAGTAGCAGTAAAGGTATCAAGGCTGGCGGCTGACAGACACAGAGTGAATTACCAGGCAAGGGTCAGAGGCAGGCGGCGTGATTCAGAGTCCGTGTATCAGGCTTGGGTCGTGGGCAGGCAGAAGGCAAAGCAGAGTCAGAAACGGGCTGGAGTAATGCACAGGAGATCAGGCAGGATGTAACACTCAGTAATGCTGGCCGGGGCTGAAACAAGACTTCGCAGTGAACTGGAGTTTGAGTGTGGCTTATATAGGGAGCGTGGGTCGTTAACTGGATTCAGTTCAGGGGCCTCATGTACGAAGACTTGCGTGGAAATCTTACTAAAACATTGCGTACGCACAAAGCTGTAAATGTGCGTACGCAGAAAAAAATTCAGATGTATGAAACACTGCGTACGCCGAATCTCACGCATATTCTTTTGTACATCTGAATGAACGTGAAACTGAGCGCAACATGCACGAGCACAAAACCCCTCCCTGCCTCCTCCCCCGTATGAATATGCTAATGACTATGCTAATGGCAAAACCCAACGAAAAAGCAACGGCAAAATCAAGCAAAAAGAGAAACTTTGAACAGAATGTGAATTGGAGGTGCTGCTTTCAGAGGTAGACCGGAGAAAAGTGGTGTTATTTACAAGTTTGTTTTCCGGAATTAACAACAAAAGAAAAAAATAGAGTGGGAGAGTTTAGCTGATGCGGTTAACACAGTTGGGTCTGAACATCGCACTGAGTGCATTTAAAAAAGAAATAGTGTGGTTTATAACTGAAAAATGTTGCAGTACCCTTAGCAGTCTCAGTGGCGCACCTCACAAGAAGCATGTGATCACGTACTGACATGTTCGAGCATAATCTCGGCTCGAATCCAGCGTTTAATGAATTCTTTCTTTTTTTCCCCGCTACATATCAGATTTTGCCCACTATTTATCAAGAGAAAGACAAGTAGGAATCATCAATAAGTTTGTGCATCATATTCTATTTGCACATTTATTGAATGGAAATGTTTCTGATTCACGCATGCAAATTTATCTTCAGATAGTGTCTTTATAGCAATGTGCGTGCAGTAGATCGCTCAGATTACATTGGGAAAACAGGCGACCGCTGCAAATTGTGCTTTAATGTTTAGCTGGTCAACTGTATGGTATGGAAACCTTATATACCTGCTAGATGAACCCGTCTCATACAGCTGCCATTGCAAGGCTCAGACACTTTGTAGAGAGGAATTTAACACAACTGCCTCTAGGAGTCGCCAATGGAAATAAAACAGACACGCACAAAAAATGTGCGTACGCCTGCCAGAAAGCTGCCGTGAAGCTGCGCACATTCCCACGTTCAGTTCATTGTTAGTAAATCCAAACGTGAGCGATTCTGAGCGTGAAACCTGGCGGACGCAAAGTTTTTGTGCGTACGCAGCGTTGATACATGAGGCCCCAGGTGAGTGCACGATCAGTCTAGGTGGATGATGTAATGCTTAGAAATCCGGGGATGGCGGCCTCTGCTGGCCAGCGAGGGGAATGACTGGGACCGAGTCGGTGACACACAATGAATCACGCATAAATGAGAGAATGTTTTCCCAAATGATGTTTAACAGAGCAAGGAATGCTCATTCACAGTATGTCTGATTTTTCTTCTGGAGAAAGTCCTATTTGTTTTTTTTAGCTAGAATAAAAGCAGTTTTAAATTTTTTAAACACCATTTTAAAGTCAAAATTATTAACCCCTTTAGTCTAAAAACTATTTCGATAGTCTACAGAACAAACCATTGTTATACAATTACTTGCCTAATTCCCCTAACCTGCCTAGTTAACCTAATTAACCTAGTTAAGCTTTTAAATGTCACTTTAAGCTGTATAGAAGTGTCTTGAAGAATATCTAGTCAAATATTATTTACTGTAATCATGACAAAGATAAAATAAATCAATTATTAGAAATGAGTTAATAAAACTATTGTGATTAGAAATGAGTTGAATAAATCCGTTCAACAGAAATTAGGGGCTAAAATAAACAGGGGGCGAATAATTCAGGGGGCTAATAATTCTGACTTCAACTGTATGTTATAAAAAAAAAAATATATATATATATATATAAAAAAAGTACATTTTTTTATTGATTTTACCAGTTTTGCTTAAATGAATAGTCTTTTTACAAAATATAAATAAATCATGCTGCCCTCATACATTTTACTAGAGTAAAATACAGTAAAGCTGCTGTCACAGTAAACCAGAGAATGTTAGCGTCCGGATTAATAAGAGGAAAACACGTCACTTAACTGATTACTGTAAATCTTATATATCAGAAAACTGAAGCTGAAACAGAGTAAATCACCTCAGATCTGCTGTAGGTTTGTGTTGATGGATGTCTGGCTGATGGGTTTTCTTCAGCTTTATTACTAGAGGGAGAAAAACACCCAAGCAAACACAAATATGACAAATACAATGAGGATTTATCAATATCACATATTTTAATAGTACACATTTATTTCTATTGCAGTTCTTAAAAATATTCTAGTAATATTGATAATAATTAAAAGATCAATGTAATTATTTTTTTAAGTTTTGATAAATTAATTGACATTTTAACCTGATTTTTAGTCCAAACACATGCACTATAAGGTGAATTGATGAACTAAATTGGACCGTAGTGTATGAGTGTGTGTGTGAATGAGTGTGTATGGGTGTTTTCCAGTACTGGGTTTCGGCGTGAAGGGCAGAGGCTGCCTAAAACATATGCTGGAATAGTTGGCAGTTCATTCCGCTGTGGCGAGGGACTAAATAAGGGACTAAGCTGTAGGAAAATGAATGGATGAATGTTTCCTAAGAAACCTCACGGTCAGAACGCACCACTAGTGACTACAATAGCCTTTCAGGGCGACAGGCAGCTACAAAGTCACTGCTAGTGTGAATGCAGCATTAAGCCATAAGCTGCACTTTTCACCCCATAGACTTCCATTCATACCCAAACGAATGCGGCAGACCAGAAATTTAAGCTTGTGCAACAAGTTTCTCAGTTCGCTTTAGCTGCGTCCCAAATGGCACACTATACACTATGCACTCATGCACTATGTACTTATGCACTTACACACTCAACAGGAAAGTATATGTATGTAGTGTTGTCCCAAATGGCACACTAATGTTTTTTACTAAGAGGAAATTCAAACCGTTTCCCTGATGATGTTTGAGGATTGTCAAATCATTGAAAGAAACGACCGAATTATCAGATAATACCTGCCGTGAGTATTGCCGCATTCACCATCGGGAGGCGCTATAATCACTCTCGTAGGACAATTTTGCTTTCACCATCCAAAATAAATAAAGTTATTCAACATGTGCGTCCGATAGCTCCGCCCCTTCCGCTACGTAAGCAAACCTGCGGTCGTTGAGTGCGTGAAGTGTCCATCATTACACACTTCATTTTAGCGGCTGAATGAGTGCATCATCCGGGTAATTGAAGTGCACTTATTATTTTTAGAGTTTTCAGTGTGAACACACTACTTACACTATTTATACTACAAAATGGCGTAGAATAGTGCATAAGTATGCGATTTGGGACGCAGCTTTAGATTTGATTGCAAAGTTGTTTGGTGAACTCTGACCTGTAAAATCGCATCATGTGACTGCGAGACCAATCAAATATCAAAACATGACCTCTCTGTACAGAAATTAAAATTATGGAGCAATTGTGTGCTTTGTTTAAATGTCTACTTATTTTGTTTAATCCCGACCCTTTTCGCAGCGGCGTACGACAGAATTGTGAACTCTCAAACTTTAGTGTGACCGGCGCGTCACACTGCACTTTTCACCACATAGACTTCCATTCATACTAGGGTTGGGCATCTAAGCTATAATGCCGATCCGATACGCATCTCGATACAAAGAATACGATCCGATATATTAGCGATACATTTGTGACACTGCGATGCAACACGATACGATTCACACCCATATCACGATACAATGCGATAATTCAGCACTAACTAATTAAATCAAGTTTATGAGATTATGTGAAAGAGGATGCTGTGCCATTGAATGAGTTTGATTATTTATTAACCAAGCAAAACCAAGACTTTTTTACAAACTGGCTCTTCTCTCAGAGCCAGAGTGTCAGTTTACAGTAGAGGGCCATTTTAGAACCTATAGCACATATTATTTAAGTATTTTCAAGATAAACAGAATGTATAAGTGCAATATATATTATAAATGTATATATCTTTCAACATAAAGGTTTAGCATTGCACAACAAGAATCGTGATTTAACTTTTCAACTATGAAAACAAGTTTTACAAAGATATTGTGCCACTGAATATTCAAAACTTAAGGTGGTGAACTAGCAGTGTTATGCTGCTTTGAAACATCACTGTCACTGTAAACAACAGGCTAATAAAAATATAAATAAATAAAAATTAACAGGAGGTGTTTAAAACCTTCGTTCTCCGTGACACTAGGCTGAATATCTTTGCAGATGAACAATGCAATAGCATTCGTTATTGGCGTAGAGCGAGCAGAACTGTTGCGCATGGAGAAAACTTTCAATGCTTTTCTCACCACTTTTGGAGCTGGTAGCTACAGTTGAAGCAGAGCAGGAAGCCGGGGATGCAGGAACACTGGAAGATGCTTCCACAACAACACCGAGGCGC